AACATGGCCATTTTTGTAAGGCAACAAGTGGAATTACCCTAAGGGTGTAAGTGTGAAAATGTGTTTTATTTACATGCTTGTTTATCTTGAATTAGGGTTATCTACTTGTTGGTTTTATATTTCCATACAAACCCTAATTACTAATATTATATGAAAGCGATAAATTGCGGGAAGCAAAATTACTACGCTATTACATCATTTGGAGATAGGGGATATAAATTTACAAATGGGGATGACAAGTAAAGTAAACCCTAATTATTATTACAAGGCTTTGACAATTACATAATTTATAATGCAAAAATAGAATATGCAAGAAGATGTAAAGTGAGAGAAATTGTTTTTTAGGGTTTTTTATAGCAAAAGATTTTGTAATTAATTTTATTGAAGAAAAACCTAAGTCTAAGTTAATTGTTTTTTGAGGTTTCATTTGAACAAAAAGGTTTTATAAAGTCAGGTCACTTCCAAGCAATGTAATATGTCAAAAAGAACCTAAAAAATCTCCAAAAATCAAGAAATTTGGTGCCCGAGCTGACACGGGCCGTGTCGGGGGACACGGGCACCTGTGTCAGGACCTGTCCATGACTTATATGCATTTTTTTGGTCCCAGCCATCCTGACACGGCTGTGTCACCTGACACGGGCGCCCGTGTCAGCCCCTGTTCATCTTTTTTTGCTCATGTACGCATCAGTAACATTGACACGGGCCGTGTCGTTTGACACGGGCACCCGTGTCAGCCTCTGTCCCTGCATATTATCACATTTTTCAACCCAAATAAGCTGACATGGGCCGTGTCGTGTGACACGGGCACCCGTGTCAACCTCTGGTCTGGCTTTTTGTTAGTTCTTTCTCTTTGATCTGTCTTGTTATATCTTTTGAACGCAAAAGCAAATGATGTATGAACAATGAGATCACAGTTTGAGAAAGTTTACCTCTCTAAGCGGAAGCCTTAGGACACGTACAGATGTTTTCGGGTGCAACATGGTGATTGATCGAGCTCCTTTGAACCTTATTGAAGTAGCTCCAACCTTCGTTTTATGCTGAAAATGATTGAACCGCTCCAACCGAGTCAAGTTGCAATGTATGCTTTTGAGTTTTGAAGATGGTGATAGTGATGTTACAAAAGTTATTATTATGTTTGAACAACTTCTATATGGTGTATATGAAGTGTTTGGATGGTTTGTTTTGGAGAAAACTTGCAAGGTATGAGATTCAAAGATTTGGACTTCAAAGCTCAAAAATGGAGGTTTTGTGTACAAATCTGGTTTTTGACAGCAAAATGATTTTTGAGGGTTAGTTTCTCCTTCTATTTTTCTGGCCTCTCTCTCTTTTTTCTAACCTCTTTCCAACCTCTTTCTCTTGTGATTGGCATATCTATTTATAGAGAAGATTTGAGACTTGAAACAAAACTCAGATTTTAAATCACATGTTGTGGCTAGGTTAGATTGTACATGAAGCAAGCTTGAAGATTATAGTTCCAATGCTTTGTACTTTGTTTCATAGAGTTGTTGGACACTTTAAGTATTCCCTTCTGATTTTGTATGTTGAGTGTGTGTAGAAGGGATAAGTTAGAGGCTCAAGGAGAGCTAACTTTATGATTAAAGCTACTTTGCAAGAATGGCAATGTCAACTTTGTGCCAAAAATGGAAAGATCACTTGGACAATGCTTAAACCAAATAGACCATAGCTCAAAAGTTTGTGTTAACATTAAATTATGGATAGATTTTCAAGTCAAGAGGCCTGCAAAGTGAAGATTATGCAGCATAACATAAGGGTTTTGTTGTGTGTTCTTCAATAGAATGACTTGCAAATCAAGGGTGGATGCCCAACTTCAGATCCTTGCATCTCCTAGCTCAAATATGATAAATTCATGCTCTTGGATGTTTTGGAAAGCTTGAAACACCCTCTATAACTTTCATGTTGGCCATTTTGACAAAATCATCTTGTAACTATGTGAAAAAATGTCAAGAAGTTGGGATAAAATCCTGACCAAAACTGCTAAAAATTTCTCTAAGTGTTTAATGAAAATGTCATGACTTCATGAATCTATAACTTGAGATCCAAGCATATTTAGGAGAAGTTGTGTAAAGAAATGTTGTAGATATCATGGAGATCTACAACTTTCATGTTGAAAGTTTCCCTTGAACTGTCTTGCATCTTAGTGAAAGAATGACATGAAGTGATGAAATTATCATGTATAAAGACACTTAGAAAATTTCTAAGTCTTGGAAATCTTGACTTTTCAAGTTGACTTTTGACTTTCTTGACTTCTTGATGATCAAGCTTGATATTCTTGAATGTCTTGATGAAATTTGATCTTTGGAATGTAATGTTGACCAAAAAGTCAAAGTTTGACTTTCTAGTATACAATTGACCATTTTGCCCTTGTGCCAATTTCAAGCCTAAATTGATGCATCAGTGCTGCAAACTTGATGTCGTAGAAGATCTTGTGAGCAAATACTTGACAAATGAGAGGGCAAATTTTGGGGTACAACAGAGACTACTCAAACTTTTATCATATACATTTTGGCAGAATTGTGAAGAAGCAAGAAGTTGTTGCTCATAGATTTCTCAACAAAGAAGATGAAGACAAGAAGACTACAAGATGTTGCACTCAATTTAGATTATATTTATCTTTGTAGAAACAATATAAAATACAAGAGTTGTTGCTCATATTGTGTTATTTCTTAAGAATCTTCATGTAAATTGTTTGTACACAAGAGTTCTTGCTCGGAATTGTGTAAAACAATATGTACTTAAACTATGAGTAACCAGCTTGATAAGAAGCACTCATGTAATCTCCATAAAAACAATTATGTTTAGAATTGGTGGTTCCTCAAGTGATCGAGTGAAGATCAGAAGACTTGAGAAGACGAGTAGGTAAGGTCGTCGTGGATGAAATCCTTTCTAAGAAACCATGTTGGTCAGATTCTAGGCGGGTTAATGATTATTATATCTCGTGGAGATCATTGTATGTATCATTGTTATGTTCCTTGAGAGACTCGGTTGAGTCAGGATTCTGAAGAAGGCTTATACCGCGATCTTAGCAGAAAATGCAATAAGGATCAGCTGAATTTGTTGTGGTTGTCAGTAAGGTTGATCATACTTATTGTGGATTGTAATCAATTTTGGTTATAGTGGATTAAGTCTTTGCTAAAGGAAAAATCACCTGAGAGGAGTGGACAAAAGTAACCTAGTTAACAATGAACCTGGATAACTAAATGTGTCACTTTATATTTTATTCCATTCTATATTCTTTCATAGTTCAATGAAATAATTTTCTAAAGGGGGATATTTTCTTAAAACCCAATCCAACCCCCTTTCTTGTGTTTTTCTCTATCTTCAAAGACACTGAGGTTCTCGCCAGAGGGATAAGTAAGGATGATAGCAAGAAAGAAGAGCGTAAAGGCAAGTGCTCTTACATCTCCTCCATAACTAGGGGATCCCTCAGGCCCAACATGTCATCCAAGGGAACGATCAAAAGGAAGCTTATCGAACTAATGGTCATCAACAAGAAAAAGGGGATTACCTCGACTGCTAACCCAAAAAAGGCATATCCTTGGGTTCCAAAGATAATGAAAAGGTAGAAGGAATCTCGAATGGGATATTCCCTTTGGTAATAGAAATAACCATAACTAAATTTGACGTCTCTCAGGTTCTAATTGACAGGGGAAGTTCTTGTGATATTATGTTTGTCGACCTCTTTGGGAAAATGGGACTGAAGAAAGAAAAAGGTGATGTCGTATGAAGGGTCAGATTTACAAGCCTTCAATGGTACATTAACTCGACCATGAGGATATGTAAAACGGACGGTCACCCTGGGAGAAGTGAGGAACGTTAGAACTATTGACGCCCAATTCCTGGTCGTCATGTGCTACAGTGTTTATAATTGCATATCATACCACCTTTTTGTTACAACCTTGGATGTTGTAGCTTCCTTTGTCCACCTTAAGATGAAATGTTATAACGCCCATGACAAACCAACTACGATAAGCGCGAACTTAATAAAAGTTAAAAGGATTTATCAAGCTATACAACAGGAGCAAAAAGAAGGCGGGACTACCTCTATGGAAATAAACATAACCTCATTGATCGGGAAGCTGAAATGAAAGGAACGAGAATCTGACCTCTAACCAAGAAGATGTCATAGGAGAAAGAAACAAAGGAAAGTGGTTGACAAAAAGAAGACCTAATTATATGTGGAGTAAATAATCGGCGACATAAATTATCTGGTTATGTTATTCGTTAATTCCTTTAAATTCTTTTCAATTAAGTGATGTCACAAAACCACCTATTTACGACTCTTCTTGATTTTTGATTAATTTCTTATTAATGAAGAAATATGTTAAATGTATTCCTTTATATTATATTTTTAACACAAAAAAATATTTTTCCATTCATGACATTTGTCACAGATATCGTAGTATAATTTTTTTTTATATATATAATCAAAGAAAATGCTAACAAATGTCTTAAAAGTGTTTTTTAAAATTAAAAAAAAAAAGATTTTTTATATAAAAAAAAAATGCATATTCAACCTAAAAAAATACAATACTTGATTTTGTATACTTAATTTTGTAACAAGTAGTAATTCTTTAATATAGAATTCTTAAAGTTTATACTTACATTTGTTAGGAAGCACTATAAATAATATAAAAACACATCTTTAAAATTTTGAGATTCATTGGACATTTATATACCTAAAATCATAGTTATTGAAAAGTCTAACTATTACTCCATATATTTTTAAGAAATGTACATGATCTATACTCACAAATTCCATTACAAAATATCCAATTAACAATCACCAATCAACATTAAACATCCTTATTTAGTCTTTCATTCCATGTACTATACTCACTCAATCCTTTTCTAAATATCACTCTATGCTAACAAACTAGTACTACATAAATCCCTAATGATAAAAACCTTTATATATGTCCCAAACAAACCAAAGAAAAAAACAATACATCATCATTAGTCGTTATAGCAATTTATCATAATCAATATTCACCAATGACCAAATCCAAGTATTTTCCAATTTCAGCATCATCCCTCTTACAAAGATTAACTTTGATTCCATGTTTCATATACATAGTCAATGCAATCTTTGGCTCAACAATGTGATTTTCAACAACCTTCACATGATATCTATATATGATACTAGCAGCAACATATTTCATTTGATAATATGCAAAATCTTTGCCTAAACACAAACGAGGTCCACCATTAAATGCAGTGAATTTGTATGCAGATTCACTCATAAACTTTCCATCTTTTAACCATCTTTCTGGCTTAAACTCTCTGCAATCCTTTCCCCATATGCTTTCCATTCTTCCCATTGCATATATTGCATATATCACTTTTGTTCCTTTTTTTAGTTCTGTTCCATCTGGAAATGTATCATCCTCAACTACCTACAAAAAAAAAACAATATCATAATTATGTTATTAATTAATGCTTTTAACCTCGAGCCACTAGGTTAATTTAATATATGACTTTGATTTGTGTGAGATTATTCTAGTACTAATTAATTTACAGATTTTCTAGGTTGGTGTTTTCCAATAAAATTTGAAACTTTGACTCATACTTCTTGCATGGGTTCAACATAACTTTAGAAACTTTCATCGTAGTGGAACATAGACACAGACATCAGACATTTGATATTAAACTAACACAGACATGTCTTTTTTCAGAGGTGTTACAAAACATGTAGTCGCAACTCACTGAGATTTGAAAATGATGAATAAAGAGAAACAAGAAAAATAAACTTTTGTTACCTCTTTGTGATCCACTGGAACAGAAGGGTATAATCTGAGAGTTTCTGATAAACAAGCATGCAAATAATCCATTTTTTTAATCTCTTCAGGCCTAAACATCAAAGAATTTCCAAACTTTTCATTCTTCATATCATTCCTTTGACTCACCACTTTGCATATCTCTTCTAAAATCTTCTCCTCCACTTCATGATTCTTATCAAGCAACCAGAAAAACCAACTCAAAGCAACAGAAGAAGTGTCTCTCCCGGCTAATATAAAATTCACACATATATCCCTCAAGAACTTATCTGAATAAGCACTTCCAAACTCATCTTTCATCTTCATAAAAACAGTTAACAGATCAGATTTCTGTGATTTCTTGTCCTCAAATTCCAAAGACAGTTCCTTTTTTCTAGTCCTAATAACATTCATAGCAAATTCATCAACCCCTTTGATTGATTTCTTGAGTTTTCTCTCTGTGCCTAAGTTGAAAAGCCTCATGAACTTCCAAACACATGTCGGCGTAACGAAACGAAACATGGTTGCTTCTGTTGCATCTTCAAAGGCTTTTGCAAATGGTATAACAACAAGTTTTTGACTCAAACAACCTGGATCAACACCAAAAGCTATCATACAAACATTATCAAAAGTTAACTTTAAAAGAATCTCTTGAAGATCTATAACAACTCTTTTATCAACTGAATCCTCTAGAACAGGTAAAAGCCTTGAATGAACAAGCTGAAACAAAGAATCAGTTGTTAAATTCCTGAACTTTGTTGAATGAAACTCAATGCTTGCTGTTTTCCTTTGCTTCTGCCATATTTCGTCGTCGGCGTTGAATATACCATCTCCAAGTAAATCTCTTAACGTGCTTCTGAAGTAAGTTCCTTTAGGAAAGTTGTTGAACTTGGTTTTGAGAAGGTGTTCGAGGTTTCGAGGATCGGAAGTGATTATGCAGTTGAGGCTGCTGAAAGTAGGACCTTTGAAATGAAAAGTTCCGTTTTGTTTGTTAAGTATGTCAGAGAACCATTCATACAAGTTGGTTCTTAGGCCATTGAGTAAAGAAGGTAACATGCCAAGAAAAGGCCAAATAGGTAAGCCATGAAGGGTTTTTTGTTTGAGAGAATGAATGATTATGAAGATGGTAATTGCAATGAGAATTTCAAGAGTTTGGATGTTTTGGAAGATGAAGAGAGTAAGGGAATAGATCATGTTGATGTTGAAGTCGGCGGCGAAAGCCGAGGAGGAGGAGGAGGATGATGATGAGAGGTTGAGATTGGTCATGGTGTTTGAGAGATAAGGAATGTGAAAATGCATGATAGTATTGGTTTGGTCATGGTTGAAGTATGTTAGTTATATGGAGTGTATGTATGTGCATGAGTTTGCAAATGTGGTTTGGTTTGGTGAACAGAAATGTTTTTTGGGAGGAAAAGTTGATTTTGTTAAGTGATTATGGGAAAGGGAATTAAAGTAGAGTGGAGTAAGAGTTATAACAAAGGGATTGGAGGATGAGAAGTTGATGAGGCAGATTACCTAAGAGGGAGTATAGTGTTACAAGTTTCTTTGTGATTTTATTAGCTTATGAATATACATTAACTACCTAATTCTTGTTTTTTGTTTTCTTTTGCTAATACCAATATATATTTTACACGGCATGGTTTTGGAATTTGGTTAGAATGTTTAATCAAATATAGTCTATAAGTTAATGTAAACTAACTTGCTTGGGTCAAGCAGAGAGCACTTCATTGCTTATTGAAGAAGTTAAGGTGACAATTCTTTATTATCTTTGCGATTAAGATAGTACTAGTACATTTAAATATAGATGCGTGAAAAGATAATTAATAGATCTAAGGAAAATAAATATAGTCTACCCTTCTCTTAGCATAAAAGTCTGTAAATAAAATTATAAATATAAAAAATATTATTTAAGTACTATGAAGATATTTGGAAACTAGGAAGTCAGATTTTGTACTAGTAGTAGGGTTTTAAGGATTTCTTGTCACCTAGTTAAATTTGACACTCCCTATTTTTTTTTTTGGCGCTTTTTACTGAAATATAAAAAATGTTGAAAATTATAGGTAACAGGTGCATATTAGAATTTTCGAAATCCATCGGAAATTTTATAAATCTTACATATTTTTATCATAATTGGTTGGTGGTTACCTAAAATTTTAAATTTTTGGTATAAAAAATTCTAAATTTTCGATGAACAGTTATAAATTACTAGAAATTTGAAATTTCCGATAAGTTTTAACAATTTTGGAAATTTTAAATTTCTAGTATTGAAGTAGTTTTTTTTCTATTATTTTTTCTTGAAAAATAAAATCAGTACAATAATTGTCATACATCTAAAAATAAAAAACAAACTACGATGACTTTCTACGTAAGTCTTTTCAGTGTCTAAAGCGATCCAAATTTGCTGATTATCATGCTTTTGCATCATCAATAGAATTGTGTCTGTAACAATCAGTGAGGGAGGTAATAAACAATCATGTTTTAACTTTACATGAATCCAATGATTGTTGTTGACAACACCAACAACAATGATTTTATGGATGCTCGTATACATAGGTGGAACTAAGGCAAGAGGGAAAAAAATATGATGTTAAGCCTCATGGAAAGGGAAACAAAAATGACATTGTATTTAGAAGCAATAGGGTAACCCATATCAAGAATCATCATTTATTTTTCTCTATCCTGCACACTCAAGTAGTCTACTCATAACGCATTCCTAATTGTAGAGACAGTGTCAAAGAACAACTTGGAAAACAATTGAGAGTGTTGATGAACTTGAGCATCTAACTGCATCCGAATCAAAGGCCGTATCTCTCTGTGCCATCTTAATAAAGATGAAATACAATAAAAACTACAATTTCCATCGTCACCAACATCAATAATGTCATCGATGTATGGATGTAAGAAAACAGGAAACTGGGACAAGTAAAGATGTCTTGAAGATGAAATTTTGTTCGTAGTTGATGGTTGACTTCCAATTGGCATACTTGACGGTTGAATTCCATTTGGATTTTTGCATGATCTCTTTGTAGTCTGACTCTCATGTGAGTCCTCGTCATACTTCCACTGACTAGGATCACGATGCACATCACTCTCTTGACACTTCCTACTCTTCTTAACTTCTCTCTTTGGCTTGTTCTTCACTGGTAGTAGACACATTGAAGTTGTGGATGAATATGTTAGATCACAAAATATTTTCTTCAACACCCTCTGACCTACAATATCCAAAGTACTTAAATATCTCTTCACACTCTGCTTCTAAATCCTACTTTGTACTACTCTCATCATGACTGACCTCATGTTTTGCAATGTGCAATTTCGTCCAAAATACATGAATTGAGTCTAAAGGAATAAGGTTTCCTAGAAGTTGGAAACCGGTAATCTAACACGCACACGGTAACCCATATGTTATTCTAATGAAGCAAACACATCTCTCTTGGTTTAACTAACAAACTTTACCCTTTATAGTTCATTTTCAATGAGCTGTATACATTATCTTGAGACAAAAATGTGCAACTTGGCATATAATGAAGTGTTATACCAATGTTCAATATTGACAATACTTTTTTGAAATGACATTCTGATTGAACGTAGTTGTAACCTTAACATGGTGTTCACAATATCCCAACTTCAATATAAATCACCCCGACTTGTAGTCAGCAAGTTTTTTAGTCTCCAATGAGCAGACTCCATCCTAAAATCCATAAAAAGAAATACATGTTTCAAATTGTTTTTGAATCATAAATAATAATAACATCAAATTGTCATGTTTCGTGTACCTGTTTGTTGTTGTATTCCTTAAATGATTGAATATGTTAGTCTAAGCAGCAATAAACCTTTCTTTATAAGGTGTCAACCATGTTTTATTCACATACTTAACAAATAAAGGAATATCATCACAAACACTCTCAAAGTGCTTGAAATGTTAGACAAACTCAGTTTATATATTTGAATACATGATGTTATTCCATAAATCTATGACATGTTCTTGTCTTTCTGATTTGACATACTATTTACATTTCATGCTCACATTTTTTGAAATATGGAACAAATGCAGCATATGAGTTGCATTTAGGGATAAAAATTCCATGAAATTCATCAATACAAGTTCTCGGTCTGTCACCACAATCTACGATAACAATTTCTTTGAAGAGAACAACTATTTGAGCTTCTCAAGTGCCCATGTGAAATTATCCTCCCTTTCATATTCCAAATATGCAAAGGCAATTGAAAACATGAACTTCATTGACGTAACACCAACAATCTCAAGCAGTGGTATCCAGTACCTGCGTGATCAAAATGCACATAACCAATTTGATAACTCAACATCTATAACATGTTTTAGGATGTTGTTTACCCTGATTTTTGGTAAACAACCTCTAGTTTCTTATTAAAGGTTACTTGTAGGATCAACTAGGGAATCCTAGGACAAAGTGCTAGGAACTCTTATGTTTTTTTTTCTATTCTTTAATTGTGTAAAGGGAAATGTCGAAAGACTTCAAATGCAAAGAAAGGAAAATGAATGCTGAAAAGGCAAAAGATTAAATTAAGAACTTTATATTGAAAAGGAAATAAAATACTTGGAATCTAATAAACTGGGACGCATAAATACATTTTCCTGAAAACACTTTTTTCTCACTCTCACACAGATACTTTGAGTTTCTATTATAATGTAACAAATATGGACCTCTAAAACTAAAAAAAAATGCTGATTATATAGAAATCCTTAGGCATGGCAACAAAATCCATACCCGCGGGTACCCATCTGAACTTGCCCCGAAGTTGATGGGGAAAACCCGCTTTGACTGGGTTTGGGTTCAGGTTTGGGTTTTCCCCGATTATAAAATATGGGGACGGGTCGGGTAATAAGGATACTAGTACCGTCCCCGAACTCGTCCCCGAACCCGCCCCGTTTATTTCATTATGTATATTATTATTTATTTTTGATAATTTAGAATATTAAATATGTGCTCAATGTTTTGATAATTTAATTTGTATTTATTATTTAAAATATTTGAACTGTACATATGGAATTATTTAAGATTGTTTTATTTTATTATTTATAATGTAATTTGATTTTGAAAAAAAAAATAGTATTTCTATTTAAAAAATTGATTTCATTAAATGAATGGTGGCGGGGCGGGGATACCCGAACCCAACCTGAACCTGTTTGGGGAGGGTTTGGGTTTTCATTTTCCATCCCCATTTGGGTTTGGGGTGGGGAACGAGGATTGTTTGGGGATTTGGATTTGGGTTTGGGAGAGGTAAAAATCGTCCCCGACCTGGCCCATTGTTGTAACACCCTCTAAAACCCCGAATAATATTTTCGCAATTACTAAAATCATAAGTTCAGAGTACATGTATAATCGAGGATGTCACAACTCTCTTTAAATAACACAAATTCCTGTCATGCATAACGTAGTAGTAACTCATACATGATTACACAGCGGAATAATTTTATTAATAAAATCAATGTTATAATATTTTCAAAATCATCAGGGATTAACACCTGGAAAATGTCAACATCATATTATAACAAAACATAAGGAATTAAACGAGTCTGACTAAACAGCTCGACAAACAAACGTTCCCGGAGTTACAACTATCAGAGCATGACCCGGACAATACTAAAGCGAAAGTAAACTAGAAACGACAAGCCTTCGCCAAGCACCTGAACGAAGCTCCTCAATCTGAAATATTCAACAGTAAGGGTGAGCATCTCAATTATACATTTGATTATACGTTCATAACAATCAATTCAGGAAACCATAAGCATCACCCAACAATTAGCATATTTCATGGTTTACAAAAAAAAACCTTTACAATTCATATACCCATAATATATTACTTTTCATATTTGCAATTAACATCAAACATCGTCAACAGTTTAGCAACCATACGTGCATACAAACAATCAAATACAACATTGGAAAAATCATCCATTCGTGTTATATTCAAGGTAATGCAACACACCCATGCATGTGGTACCACTTTACCGCCCCATTAAATCTCGGGTCACGGATAACTCACCGTTTCATTATATCGCGGACACGGCTACCACCTCAACGTTCCATTAAATCGCGGACACATATATTGGCCACCATGTTAATTCCACACAATGGGAATTAACAAATGCAACATGATATGTAAAGTATGTAACACTCAGCATACTATGAACATCAATCAACATATCATGCAACATCAACAACATCAATCATAACAGGATATGGATAGCATGTAATCACTCAGCATACTATTTAAACATCAATCATATCAAGTTATATCATAATTCATGCTTGATA